CTTTGGATAAGAAAAACTCAGTCCACGGGCAAGCCATTAGACAAAATCCAGAATGTAGTACATTAAGTGTGTCCCTTATGTCTAACAAGGCTATTTTTGAGAGTTTTCACAAAATATATAATTCCAGAACTTAAAGTCAATAGCAAACCCATATTACAATGAGGCACAAACATATACCATGATGAAGCACTCAAGGAGGTAAAAAATGAACCATAAATTTCCCAAACCAAATCCACTCTGTACTATCCATGGACAAGCAGCTGTCACCAAGAATAAGAGCAAGGCAGTGCTACACTGAGAAGTCCGTCACTTTTTTTAAATGCAGCTTTCTAAAACAAAACTTTTATTTCGACAGATTTTCCAAAAATAGTCTGACTTCTTTTTCAAATGCAAGCACTGCTTCACTTCCTGCAAATTGTTTTTTCTAATTCTATTCAACAATATCAACTTCATTAAAACTTTAAAGACCTGATCCTGAGTTATAGCTGGATGAGATCTCTGGGAGAAGAAAGAAATCAAGAGATCACAGCACCAGCTATTTTCAAGTGTTCTTACAATGGAAGCATAATTTGTTGATGAAAATGCACTGCTATAGAGAAAACAGAATTTAAAAAAACACATACAAAAATCAGTTTAATCCTAGGGTGGGTCTCTGTAAAGAAAAGCTTGTTTTTTTTCTTTTAACACATCGACAAGTATTAATTAGGTTGACTTTTGTATTTCAGACATAAGTCACACATTTAAAAGAAAAAATACAAAGTACTTGCTATAAATGTAAAATAGCACCCATTGTATGATTATATGAATTTATTCTTGATCCAGATATTGACCAAAGAACTTCAATTCATAAAAATCCAATTTAAGCTCTACAGATCACATGATTAAGCATTCTTTCACATTCACTGTCATCTTCTTGAAGATTCTGTTTTCCATGGTGTTTTCTTCTTTCATATGAAAGAATATGGTTGATAGCAAAATGCTGAATGAATAGACTATTAAATACTATACACCTACCAAAATAAGTAGGTAAAATTCTGAAATATTGTAAATAACACAATTGGACAAGAGGAAAAATGAAGATATTAGGAAAATAAGACAAAATGAAAATTAATGAAATTTGGTGAAATTACAACCACTTCTTTGATTTAATCACATATAGAATTATACTACATTATTTTTAAAGGAAAAGGGATATAAAACAAAATGCTTAAATTATGAAATATTTATGGTGGTTTCTGATGGTTTCTGGTGAGGAATTATTTTTCCTTGATTTTGTTGAGCGTTTTGGCTTAAAGGAAGAAAACCAACTATATAGAAAAAATAATAAATACACTAAAGTCACTTAAAATACATGGATTGAAGCTCATCTAGTTATTCTGTACTTTCTGGAGAGGCTCTTGTGTGAAAAATCAGAGTGACCCTGAATGACCTCCAAAGATCACGGCCAGACATTCAGAGATTCCACACACACTTTGCCTTCTTCATTGGAAAAGCTACCCATTACCTGCTCTAACTTCTGAGTCAAAGCATAAATCAGTTTGGAATCAACCATTTCTGCACATGCTCCTCTTCAAAAACAAAGCAAATTCTGAAAGTGAATAACCTGTGTAATTCAAATAGACGTACTGAAAGCGTACTCACAGCAAATTAAGTGATATCAACATTTAAACAAGTATTCTAGCAAGTCTGGCTCATACACGTATTTCATACATAAAGAATGACTCCAACAATGACCATAGGGTGCTCCTTTCTTTATTAGAAAGTTCACAGGCACATTCTAAAGGCTTTTTCATGGTTCAGTGACCTCAGCCAACTTGCCAGTTCAAAGTCTCCAAGATTTCATTTCCAAAGAGCTGCAGCCCACACAGTGCTGAAAGGGTTCACTAGTCCTGAGCTGCCTGTGTGACTTCCTTATTGAATTTGACAATGCATGCTAACTATGTGTGGTTGTCACAGAGCTCCAGTTGCCTTTCTTAGCCTGCACCTCTCTCTTCTACAAGTTACTTCCTGTACTATACTCTCTGTTCTAATTATAAGATAATATTGATAGTGATAATATTAATGTCAACCCCTGGTGGTAGGAGAAAAAAGAAAACCACACAATTATTTCCCATCTTTCCACAGAGGACACCCACCTCTTCTTATCATTACTTTTTTTCTGCACCTTGTTGGAAAGAGCCCAGGCAAATCATCATCATCACCATCATCATCATCAACAACTGAATGCAGTTCTAGATTCAATTTTGCCACAGTCTAGCTGTGTAACTTCAAATAAACCACATACTTGCTATGATTGTAGGATTTCTCACCTAGAAAGGTCATGGTTTTGCGGCACAATCGCAGGCTACCCTGTCACACTGTACTAGAGGGACACATCTACAACATCTGATGCACTCGCTAGCTCTGCATGTAAGTGGTGTGAGGTCCTGCCACGTTTTCATTTTGCATCTCTATGATAATTTTAGGTTGATCATAAAGTTTCGGCATCATGCGCATCAGAGTTTGAAAAGAGCTAAGCAAAGAGATTGAGAGATGGTGTGTCGGTAACACAACCACAACCTTTCCCATGAAATACTTGGGTTAGACTGTCTCAGCCTCACTCTCCTGGAAAGTCTGCTCAGTTGAAGATGTGCCCCAATGACAGAAATTCAAATGGAGATTCTTTATCAGGGCAAGGTCTTCCATTTCACCACTTTACCATTTGTGACTCAGTTTGTGGTTCACAAAGATATAGCTTAGAAAGTCTTGAGCAACTTCCAATCCACTAAAGAATTGTCTGTGAAACTGAGATGTAGAAGGTGGTATCTCTCTATAAACAGGCTCATCCCATGCTGTGGGAGTCATGGTTACCGACAGTAAATCAAGAGATTAATTATTTGCCTTTGTTAGCAATGTTAATAGCACTATCATCTTTTCAGAAAGCTTTTCTGCACCCCACATTTGCATTTTTCTATTCCGTGCCTCAGAACAAATCCCGGACCATGGTGTACAAATATATTGAGGTTGCCTTTTCACTGGGAATGTCTCAACAATTCCTGCCCTCTCTGCCAAATTGTTACTGTGACACCTTAGCTAAAGGAAGCCTCCAGTCAGCATCCTCTCTGCCACAATAAACACTAAGTGGACACAGAAAAAGAGAAGCAGACTAAATAAACACTGAATACAACAATAAACTTAGAAAGTCCCATTTTCTAATGAGATACTAAGGAAATGGCCACAGGACGTAACTCGTACAGTCTTTCTTTTCCAAGCAAAATTAAGCCATGCATTTTGTTCACCTGCAAACCAACTTTAACAAAGACCAAGTGAGTTTAAACTTATCCATTCACAAATATAATCCACTGATAGTGCTCATTACCTCGATTTTAGCTAAGAAGGCTCAGTAGGATCAACTCATAAGTATCACATAATTATCCCAATCAGATGCAATGATGCCCTTCTGGGACTGAGATGCAAGATTCGCATTATGTTCGGAGCCTTCAAGTTCCATGTAGACCACAGCAGCCCTAAGAGAAGGTTTCCAAATGATCCTTGCACAACAAGACAAGAGATTTTATTTTCCCCTACCACGAATTATTTAATACACAGAGGTAACTCTAGTTTTTGCATAAATCTTCATTTTATAAAATGTTCAGGCTACATTAACTGGATGCAAAATAACAGAAACTTTTGTAGCTCCTGCCTTGGGATCATAATTATTTTGTTTACTTCTGCAGTTTACTACTGTGCTGCCACCACAGAATAATCAAATGAGCCCACTGATGTCATGAGTGACTAATGTCATGAAAGTCCAATGGGAAATAAAACAAGGTAACTTCTTCACAAATCTTAACTGCAAATTCCTCAGCTAACTCTGAGCCCCTCTTGAAGCCAGCTTATGTGCTTCTTTCCTGAGACCCAAGAGAGCACCAGACTAAGGGTTGCAAAGAGGCTAACCTAAGCTAGTCAACTGACCACAGACCAGTTTTCCATTCAGGCCGTGTTCCCTCTCAGTTGTCCACTGGAAGGTAGAGTACCTGCATATTGCAATTCACCCCACAGCTACATCTCCAGGATCAATGGTTTGGTGGAAACACAAATCTTAGCACATGTTTTCATTCTCCCTAGCTGGGATACTGGCCTGGGTAGAGGTCAGAATCATCACACTGAAATTCAAAACATCCGATATTTCTTTTTAAATAAAGAAAGATACATCAAGGATTAATCATTGACATATAGGGCTGCTAAAGAGAATCAGCTTCCAAAAGGCTATACCACGAAAATCTCCAGGAAGTCTCAAGTTTTCTTTATACTCTCTGAAGCCACACTGTGGATGCTATCTTGTTCACTTAGTGTCTTAAAAGTGTGAGCATGCAGAGCATGGTAATGGGACAGGAAAGTTTACAGCAGAGCCCTGGGAAACTATCAAAGTGTTTGAAAGAAGAGAACAGGAAAAGAATGTGTAACAGGAAATGGGACAGTGTGTGAAAAATGGAGGGGTAAGAAATTGATTGGGATTCTTGAAAGATCAATACCATGTGCTGCTGGAGGAAGTTTAAAAAATGAGAGTAAATGAGAAAATAAGATTAAGTTCATCTGATGTCTACTAAATGTCTATGATGTGTTAGGAGATACAGGGAAAAGCTTTACTTTTTAGGTCCTCAGTAAGCAGTGTAAGTACTCTGTGGATGGATGGATGGATGGGAGAGAAGAGGGAAAGACTGAAGGAAGGAAAGAATGAAGTAGTTACTGGCCTCAAGGGATTCTATGGGCTATTAGGAACTGTGTGCGCCTATGCACGTGCCTCTCATCCTAGCGAAAGTGTAGACCGACTTCTTTAACACGGGACAAGAAACTATTAACTAACAGGGTGGCTGAAAGATGTCTGGAAATGAGGGACCAGCAGGGGCCGGAACGGGAAGATCCCGGTTCCCTTCCCTGAGTGGGGGCGCCTGGTGCTTTAGGGAAGGGAAGAAGGGATGTCCACCTCTGGGGAGTCCACTGTCCGGGCTTCTACTGACCTGGTCTCCTCCTCACCGGCCTCTTGCGGCCGCTGCAGAAGCGCACCTTGCTGAACACCCCCAGAACGTGCCTCTCGCACAGGGAGCGCCCGTCTTTGCTGGGGCTGGAGCGACGCTTGGAGGCCGACACCCGGTCGCTGTTGGATTCCCTCGCCTGCCGCTTCTGCCGGATCAGCGAGCTGGCTATTGCTGCAGCCATAGCTGCTCAGCGCCGGCCCCAGGCCCCTGGCTCCAAGGCTCCCTCGGGATCGCGCTCCCCCGGGGCGAGGGCAGGACCTCGGCGGCAAGAGGGAAGGGGCAGGAGCAGGGAGGCAGTGGTAATGTCTGAGGAGGCTGCAGTGTGCAAAACCCGGCGCCCACAAGGTTAGTCAGAGTCTGGGCAGTGGCAACGAGACGTGTGAGAATCCAGATGTAAACTTGCCCAACCGCTGGCGGCGGGGGCGGGGCGGTCCCAGGCCTTCCTGCGAAGTAGACGTCTGCACCCCAAACGTGCGCCCCAAGGCGATCCCAGTCCAGGGGGCAGTGGGAAGTTTGGTCACAATGCGTTGGGGTACCAAGTGGAAGGGGTAAAGAATGTCCAAAATAACGAGCCCGTGCCCCGGTTGGAGAGGCGCAAGCGTTGCCAGGTGTCCCAAGTAGAGCTACACATCCATACGTAGAAAACCCGTTTACAAAGCAGTCTGTTCACCGAGGCGGGTAGCGTGCCCCCCGGTAGAAAATACTAAAAAGTGAATAAAACGTTCCTTTAGAAAACGAAACACCAACCGCCAGAGAGAGGAGAGGAAGGCAGCAATTTAACTCCCTGCGGCCCGCCGTTCTGGAGCTTAGGAGGTCCGTCTGGGCTGGGGCTGGGTAAGGTCTACGGAAGGCATCGCTCCGGCTGCGGTTCCCCGGGGCCCGGCCGCCCGAGGTCTGCAATCCGAGAGGCGCGAAGTGAGAGCGGCTCGCCCGAGTCCGGCCAGGGGCGCGGGGCGCGGGCAGCTGTTTCCAGCTGCGGTGAGCGCCGCTCTCCTCCAGCAGCCCTGCAAAAAGAGCGGGAGGAGGGCGGGGGAGGCCTGCGGGAGGGCGGGCGGGAGGGCGGAGGGAGGGAGATCCTCGGCGGCCGAGCACTCCCGGGAGCGGCCCGCGAGGGGAGAGGCGGTGCGCGGGGTCCCGGGAGCGGGCGCGCTGTCCCTTTCCGCTTGCTTTCTAGCACGAGACGGGCACAGTTGGTGACTATTTAGGGAATCCTCAATCTAGAATGACTCAGTAGTTTAAATAAGCCCCTCTCCAGAGGCGACGCTGCCTGCCGAAGGTGCCCTCTCGGGCTCGGCGCCCACACGCCTTCCACCGGAGCTCCCCGCCAGGGGCCGCCCAGGGCCGCCGCACCGAGCCGCTCACCGCACAGGCTCCGAGGCGGCGAGGCAGCGAGGAGGGAAGGGGGGAGGCAGGGGGCGCCCTGGCGGGGTCGGGATCAGGTCATCGCCTGGCCGCCCGGGGCCCCCAGGCTTGCGCGCCCCGGCCGGGCAGTCGGCAGCTCTCGGGCAGCAGGTCAGATGGGGCTCGCCCGCCGGACGCGAGGCCGGTCACTCGGCCCCGCGCCGCCCATCCTGGCCGAGGAAGGAAGTGAGCGGCGAGCGGCGGGGCCCTGCGCGTCGGCTCGGGTGGGGCGGGGGCTGGCTGCGGGCGACGCAGGCTCGCGGCGGCTGCGGCTCTGGGTCGGAGCTGCCCACCACGGTCTGGCGCCCGGGGCGCAGCGAGGTCCCTAGGCCGCCCCGGGCGACGGCGTGGGGCGGCCGCGCGCGCAGTCCGGGCCCTCGGGGACCGGGACGAGGGAGAGGCGGGTGCGGGCGGCCGCGAACTCGCCCAACTTGCTGCTGCGCGGGCGGCCTCTCGCAGCCGCGGGCTAGCGGGGCGCCCCCAGTCGCCGCCTCCCCGGGCCCGGAAGGGGGCGCTCAGTGCGGAGTCCCATTCAGGGGCTGTGGCTCAGGGCGCCGCCGCCGGCTGCCGGGACGGGAGCGCCAGCGGGCTTCGCAGGAAACTCAGAGGCTGCGGGTGGGACAGGGACCGGCGGCGGCGGAGTTTCTCCCGCACCGCGAGGCGCCCGGACGGGGACAGGGTGGGGGCCGAGCTCCCAGGGCGCGGGGAGGCGCGGCGCGCGGGGTCCTGCTGCCTCTCCTCGCGCCCGGGGCTCCCTTCCCCTTCCTCCCTCCCTTCACCCCTCTCTGGCTTCTGTCTCTCCCCTTTTCTCCTCTCTACGCAATCCTACGTGATTGAGGTTTGGATGAGAAATTCTCAGAGGCAGAGCGAGGGAACTGCAGCCCGGGTCTGCTCTGTCCGGTCCCTCCCCCAAGAGAAAGACACAGCGGCTGGTCGGGGAAGGACCTGGCTTCTGGATGCAGAGAAGGGGTCAGGGGTAGTGGAGCTGAAGGTAATTCATTCCTATTCCTGTTCTCCCCCCCCCCCCCCCCCCCTCCTTGCCCGCTCTTGCCTGCCTCCCTGCCTTCCTGCCTTCCCCCCGCCCCCCCCTCCTTGCTCGCTCTCTCTCTTTTCCAGGTCGCATTCTCTATCTAGGAAGAAAGGAAGTAGATACTGGAGAAAGTAGCATGCCCTTTGGGCTCTCAGGTCGGGCTCCACCCTCGGCTCTTTTGGAGACTGCTTCCGCCTCCTTACAGCCCAAATTTCTTGGTTCTGTCTGGATTGCCACAAAGCAGGCTTAGTCCCTAAAAACCCGGACCGAGGTGAACTGGCTGCACCAAAGTGGGGGAAGGGAGTGACAGGGCTGGCAAAAGGAGTCAACAACCGTCTCTGGCAATCAGGCAGGACTAGAAAGTGCTTGTGAAGACAGCTGATGTTAGAGAAACACTGGAGTCATCTAACCTTAAAGGCGGCATGAGGGATTTTGGAAACTGGAAAGGAGTAATCACAGTTCATTCATGCTAAAATTTTGGACCAGCTCTTAGCTCTCTTCAACTTGTTTTCAAATATTCCCAGTGTCTCTTCTTCCCTGACATCTCTCCAAGCCTCACCGGTGTGCCAAAGAATGAAATGGATGACTTCCAAAGGGAGACGAGCATACGTTGGAAAGATCCTGATTCAGGCCAAGGAAGGGGCCCAGAAGAGCCCCAGAGTGCTCCAGCCGTGTGCACAAACCTGTGGGCAAAGGTAACATTCTTCTGCACAACTAAAAGGTTGAGATCCTTGTTCTTCAGAACAAGCACTGAGCCTAACAACCAGCCCAACAGTGCCTTGGATCTGGGGCCTTGGACCTTCAAGCTGCTAGGTGGGCAAAGCAGAGGCTGGCAGATTGGGGTCAAGGAGACAGACAGCTGTGGGAGGGAGAGTAGACAGACAAGTCACCCTGAGGAAAGGGAGTCCCAAGTGCTCAGGAGGAGCCAACATCTCCTGCAGCAGTTCGGTGTTGCTGAATGAGGATGATGGATTCATTCCTGGAATTCCCAGAATACAGAGGACAGATGAGATCACACACACACACACACACACACACACACACACCAACTCTGCTCCGGAAGTGAAAATGAGTGCACATTCAAAACTGCATGGGGATGGGGCAACAATGACTTCTTAAAATCTATGGGTAACACTGTCAATCAGGGAAAGGTTTACATTCTTCAATTAAAATTACTTTTTTTCCCTTACTAGCAGTGATCTTGTTTTACTCTTGAGCAACAGAGCCACAGATCATGTTGACTGGCTTTGGGGGCTCCCTGCCTTTTGCAAGTCAATGCCCAATCAGAAAAAGGTCAGCTAAGGGAAAAATCCAGAGAAATAAACAAGGAGGAGGTGTGTGATGAAGCCTTGAGCATATCACTGCTAAACTTGGAGTCTCTCTTTTATCCTCAAAATGGAGATAATGATTCCCATCTACCTCACAGAAGTAAATAGGCACATGTAAGCATTTTGAAAGCTGGAAAACGCTAGATGAGTGAAAGAGATGATTATAGTGTTCACTATTTTTTTCATGAAAATCACCTGAGATACTTCTTTAAAAAGCAGATTCCTGATGATTCTCTCAGAATAAATGATTCTCAGGATATGAAGCAGAAGCCTCCACATTTATGGCCTAGGAATCTGATTCTTAACAAGTTCTTCAAGTGTCATGGAGTTTTGAGAGCTCAATAAATGTGTGTAATGCAGATAATACTAGAGGAAAGTAAAATCACACTCAAGATCTGGCACAGTACTCGAAAGTGCAGACCTGTGCCCTAAGAAAAGGTCTGAGAAAGGATATGTGTTCTCAGATCTTTTTGTGTTGCTTTTTTCTACAAATTAGGATGCTTTGATACAGAAGACAACCAAGACAGAGTTGCAGGTGAGAAGGAATTACCGAGGGAGGAGTTGAAAAAGCAAATAACAGTTGCTGTTTGAAGCTTATGTCTTTTTCTCAACATGACAAAATCAAATTGGGTGCTTAAAGAAAAAAACGAAACATCCAATGGCAGCTTTCTGAGATAGACATTATATGTCTTTAGATCTCGGTTAGAAGACTGTGATGTGTGGGATCCTATGGCACCAAGATGTAACTTTTCCCTTGCACTCTTGTGACTATTGTCAGAGTGCTTATCCCTATAGCCTGTAGCCATGTGGCCCTTTAAGTCATCTTGGGCGTTGCATGAGAAGAATAGGTAAGCAGAGAAATCTGAGAAACTATATAAGACCTAAGTCCATGGCTGTTGAGCTCAGAATCAATACTTAAATTTTTTGTTAATTCATACCTTTTCAGCCTAGGCCATTTAAACTCTTGAGCCTTTCTTCATGGTTAATGGAAACATTACTAGTATCTTGGCATTTTGAAATCAGGAAAGAAGTTCAAACGACTGATGACCAAAGTGAAATAACCAGATAGTTTAAAGGTCCTCTTTTGCACAGGGAATGGTAACTGGGGATTAAATCCAGGGCTTTCACACTAAGCTACATCCCCAGCCCTTTTTTTTTTCTTTCTTTCTTTTTTCTTTTTTTTTTTAGACACAGGGTCTCTAATTAGGTTGCCAGGGCTTGGCTAGAATTTGAACTCCTCCTTCCTCTACCTGCCAGTGTGGGATTGATTGCAAGCATGCACCACCCCGCCTGTCCTGACTACTATGATTTTTGAGCAGCTAAAGAATTTCCTTTTTAACTTTGAAGCCATTATGTCTGGAAAAACTTCTAATTAAATTGGAGAAAGCTACCAGATATATGTGAAAGAGTTACTTACAGTTATGTTTATATTTGTTACATCCAGTCAAACAAAACATGGACAGGCTTAATCATCTCCGTTTTTTAAAAAGAAAAGCAAGGAATGTTTATCTTTTGCTTATTCATAGTCCAGCTCTTCCAACTCCCAAATTGAACTTTAGGATTATGTTACAAATGCCCTTTAAACATTGTATTGAACACATATTGTAACCTGTTCTTTGTCATTTACCAAAGGGAACTCTATACCTTTACATTCTCCTTACCCTCAACAAGCTTACTTTTCATACTATCATGATCTTTTTTTTTCTTTTATCTTAACCACCCACTCACTATCTTATCCTACTGGATAAATCAGTCAACCTTTCTAAACCACAAGTGTGAAATAGATGAACAGAAATGATACTAGCAATATCTACCTAACTGGGCTCTTCTGACATTCAAAGAATATGTGACAATAATTCAAAGTATGAGAATGAACATGCTGTCACTGAAGTTATTCCTTTAAATCAAGTCCCCAATATAAAATAGAGCCCTCTCAAAACAGGAAATTATAACTTGTGATTCATGCACATCATCATTCACTCCTAGACATAATATACTTAATGAAGGCTAAAAATCTACTTGAAATAAATGATTAACCTTGACTTTGTAATGGAAAACTGAATTTTCATTAGTGGAATATTGTCAGTATCCTTGTCTGTTGGGAACATAAAGAAGACTTGTTCTAATTATATGTCATCTTGCTTTGAGATAAGGCCCCTGACTCAAAGCTTGGAGACAGCTCGCTGGGCTCTGTCAGAATAGGCTTCAGGGATGGAGAAAGAACTTTTCCCCAGCAGTTTTATCCTATACATAGCTATACTTTTCTTTACTCTTCTCTGCCAGGTTGTCAGTTAAAATAGGCCAGCAAATGCAAGGCAAACTATTGCTATCTAATAATATATAATAATTACTTTCTACAGCAAATTCACTTATAATTTATTTAACAGTTCAACAGTTGAATTATTATATATTATATGTCTGGTCTTGGTTGCCTCTCAGAGCAGGAAAGAGGACAGATTTTATTCCTCTTTATGATACAGATGAAGGATAGTTATTTTCACTCTCCAAAAGAAAAAAATCTGCAATGTTGTGGAGACTGTTTGGAGATCCAGTATATAGCTAATGTGATCATTGTTAAGCGTCCTGCATAATTCTAAGGGCATTACAATTTCTAACATATTCATTCCATACCGCGACCCTATGCATAGATTCTGTTATGTCTCCATTTTATAAATGAAGAAACCAGGGTACTAAGAGTTTGAGTTGCTTAACCTAAGGCACCCAGTTGAGGATTGGGAGAGTATAGATTTAATCCCATGGAATTTATTTTTAGAACTTCCCTTTTATCATCTATATAATGAATGCAGTATGTCAATAAAATATAATACCATGAATAAGTATAATCATGTAATAAAATTAATAAAATGAGGATATACTTACTTCTTATGTGTATATTGTCCTTTACTGTTTAAAACCAATCTTCCCATATATTATCTCACCAGGACTCAACAAATTTGTGATTAAAGCTAAGGAGATAATAATATACAATTGTACAAACTGAGACTTAGTGGCATGATCTCTCCAACTCACACAATGAATAAAGATCTGTAAGTTAAATTCTGGACTTCTGATCTTAGTATCTTTACTGCTCTAAGTTCAAAATGAGAAAAAAATGGAAATGCCAAATGACCTTTTGTTCACTAACCTCCAGAGGGTTACTAGGATGACCATGAAGGGGTCATCCCTGAATTCTCTTTTGCTGAAGCTTTTCCCTCTTTCTGGGTCAGAGAGCTAAGGGATGGTTTTCTGACTCTCCTTTATAAGAGGGTCCCTGAATTCCAGTTCAGCTTTATAAAACAACACTAGGGAAGCTAAATCAAAATGAAAAAGAGAGAAACTTAAAAAGAGATGACTTTCCATGTTCTTCGTTTCCATTCCTAAAGAAAAAGTGTGCTGGTTTGTCACATCCCACTTTGGAGGTGGGGGATGGGGAGGGGGATGAGGGGACTTGATTACTTTCCTGCCCAGCTGAGTTGAGGATGTTAGAAAACCCAGCACAATGGAATGCTCATCGTTTTTGCCTTCTTGTAATTCCCACTCTTACTAACCCTGGGGCAACCTTTCCCTCCAGAAAAGAAATGGGACTAGAAGATCTTCACTAGCACATAAAAGTCATAAGTACAAGGGCAATGTCTTTGCTGTTTATGTTCGTATTTCCAATACTTTAAATAGTGTTTAGCACATAGCAGATAATAAATACACGAATAAATGAATAATTCCTCAGTGCAATGACTTACATAGAGCACATGCACATGCTTGAGATCCCGGGTTCAATCTCCAGCCCCGACCCCCGCCAAAAAAAAAAAAAAAAAGAAGGAAAGAAAAAGTGAATTTCACCATCATTCCCCTATCTGTTTAAGCCAAACAGACACAGAAGTCATTCCAAACAACCATGGAGCATTTACCCTTTGTATCAGGAAACAAATTCAGTTAACTCAAGAGTAGCCTCTGCATTCCCCAGTGGATTTGGGCTTTTTGTTTTGCTTTGTTTTTGCTTTATCAATGCCCCCTAAAATTCTCTGTGTAAATTAAATCTATCTGTTAAATAAAAGCATCTTCTGGGGCCGCGATGACGAACCTTTTAGAGCTCTCGGTGTTGACAAACAAGCTGCCATGGCACTCATGCACTCACTGTTCTATAGTATGTTTTCCCAGATTTCTGCTCCCATATCTAGCCCTGTGTATTAGTCTTAATATCTCTTATCTCCCTTTCCTTCTGCTTTTCCCCCTTCTCTTCCTCTACCTCTGCCCTCCTTCCTTCTTTTTCTATCTCACACAAACACACCTAATACACATACAGACACACCCACATTCACAGAAGAAAAGAAATATACTAATAAGGCAGAGAGACACAGGTATCAGATAAAGCAAGGAACTGACTTTTTAAATCCCAGAATATGACTGAAATGCCCTTAAAACGCTTTGATCATCCTAACATCCATACTGTCACCCATCTTTACAGAGCTGCTATCTCCTCGGGCCACTCCTAGTTGCTCTCATTTCTAATTTTAGACTTGAAATTTTCAGGGAATGGATCTGTTAAAATAGCGATCTCTTACAGTATCCAGCACATGACTGACACTTAAGATATAATTTCAAAATCATAATTAATTTATGTTTTTGTACTCCTCATGTGCATAGTAATGAGCCCTGTAAAAAATAAAATAATTGGTGCATCCCAACTGATCCTGTGCTTACCAGTATGTCAGTATTTGACACCGAAAAAATTTTATTGTAAATAACTGGAATATACCAGCTGGTTAAGAAAACATGTCACAGGATCTAATGACAGTTTGGCAAAGGAAACAACCAGGATGGGCCAGGGATTTAGCTCAGTGGTCCCCCCGCCTGTCCAGCAAGT